CTTGCATTGCAATCTATATTTGTGTTAATGCATTTTAATGATTAAAAATGACCATATTTGTCGTGAACTGCGAAGTCATAATGAGTGAGTATTGTCCTTGAAAAACTTTCTCTTTTATATCTGTTCTAAATAATCCATCAATTTGGCTATTTTGCTTGTGAAAATATAATATATAGTATATATTATAGTTTTCTAGAAATAACAAATATAATTCACACTTGTGTTAGATATTTTGTATCTTTCACTCTTGCTTCTTGCTGCGCATTTATTAAAGGTACTAAATGTAAAATGTGTCTGTTATGACAGGAGACACATTTAAATACCCTTTATTTTTATCAGATATACTAGACTAACCTACAAAAATACAGTGTTTAAAAGAACGTATCTATATTTCTGATATTCATTGATGTTTCTACGAAATATGATATCAGACTTTATTTGAATTCTAATTGCATTAATGATATTTTTACGTGGTCCCAAGGACCAAAATAAACAATAGGTGGTAGCAGGTTGTGTTGATTGTAGATCAGTAACTGGCAATACATGTTTATGTCGAGGTTTAAAACCACTGAACGTACTGCAATGTTTATGTCGAGGTTTAAAACCACTGAACGTACTGCAATGTTTATGTCGAGGTTTAAAACCACTGAACGTACTGCAATGTTTATGTCGAGGTTTAAAACCACTGAACGTACTGCAATGTTTATGTCGAGGTTTAAAACCACTGAACGTACTGCAATGTTTATGTCGAGGTTTAAAACCACTGAACGTACTGCAATGTTTATGTCGAGGTTTAAAACCACTGAACGTACTGCAATGTTTATGTCGAGGTTTAAAACCACTGACCGTACTACAATGTTTATGTCGAGGTTTAAAACCACTGACCGTACTGCAATGTTTATGTCGAGGTTTAAAACCACTGAACGTACTACAATGTTTATGTCGAGGTTTAAAACCACTGAACGTACTGCAATGTTTATGTCGAGGTTTAAAACCACTGAACGTACTGCAACGTTTATGTCGAGGTTTAAAACCACTGAACGTACTGCAATGTTTATGTCGAGGTTTAAAACCACTGAACGTACTACAATGTTTATGTCGAGGTTTAAAACCACTGAACGTACTGCAATGTTTATGTCGAGGTTTAAAACCACTGAACGTACTGCAACGTTTATGTCGAGGTTTAAAACCACTGAACGTACTGCAATGTTTATGTCGAGGTTTAAAACCACTGAACGTACTACAATGTTTATGTCGAGGTTTAAAACCACTGAACGTACTGCAATGTTTATGTCGAGGTTTAAAACCACTGAACGTACTGCAACGTTTATGTCGAGGTTTAAAACCACTGAACGTACTGCAACGTTTATGTCGAGGTTTAAAACCACTGAACGTACTACAATGTTTATGTCGAGGTTTAAAACCACTGAACGTACTGCAATGTTTATGTCGAGGTTTAAAACCACTGAACGTACTGCAACGTTTATGTCGAGGTTTAAAACCACTGAACGTACTACATTCATCGTGAACCTTACATCTTTAAGGGTTTGACTTTTGACAGACATATTGCATTATTTTTTAACATAATCCCCTTCAGCATCTATACACTTTTGCCAGTGATGTTTAAGGGCTTCAACGCAACTTTTCAAGAAGTCCTTCTGTTGTCCGATCAGAGAGTCACCACAGCATGTATAACATCATCATCTGACCGAAAATGGGTATCGGAAATGGCCTTTTTTCAATTTTGGAAATAGTTGAAAATCTCATGGAACGAAAGCAGGCGAATAAGGCACTAAATACTTAATCAATATAAAGCCACATTCGTTAATGGCAGCCATGGCAATGACAGACCTGTTAACAGTGGCTTTATCCTGGTGGAACAACACACCTTTACTGAGTTTTCCTCGATGCTTGAGATTAATGTTTTCTCTTAACAGCAAAAAACATTGATTGTTTGTCCCTTTTGTAGATAGTAAACTGTCAGCATCCCAGAAAACTGTGGCGATAACCTTTCCAACTGATGGAACAGTCTTTCTTTGGCGGGGATGATCAAGGGTGCTTCCCTTGTTTAGACTGATGTTAGCTTCTGAAAACGTAAAATAGTATAGCGGTCAGCTGCCCGGCCAGCTTGGGTCTCTACGGACACACCGGTCTTCTGCCACACCAAGACACCTGAAACGTGTGATGTGTATGATCTGACAATTTGTTTTGTTATAAAATGATGTTTTCATTTTTGTCTACAGGTGGACCTCCTGTATAGCACCAAAGTTTCCGGATTGATCAGAAAGCTGTTATAATGAGTACAAGTCCAGGTATATTTGCTCTTTCGCTATTTCAAGACATGGTAGTGAATCTTTGTTAATAATTACTGATCAAAAATGGTCTTATTTGGTATCGACTTGTCATCATAAAAATCTGTAGTGAGGTAATCCTTGATAATTCTGTATGGTGTCTCCCTTACACTTCTCCTCATTAACGTTAATAAATAATTATCGAGTATGACGTATGCGCATTTTTGTTCCACTGTGTCTAGAGCGCAGCATGAAGTCAATATGTCTACTGACTATAAAACTTCAGCATTCTGTCAAATAAGCTTACCATTGACAATCAAATCAAGCAGAATTATGGGCGCCTAATCAATTTGTACAAGCATCAAGTGTAAGAAAGACTTTTGTATAACTTTAAAATAGTTGCCCTACAAACTAGATATAAAAACTATGGCAAAGGCGTGTCATAAAGTGTATATATATCAAGTGGCTAGGTAGACTGTTGTATAACTGTGGTAAAGGTGACTCATAAAGTGTACAGGTATCAAGTGTCTAAGTAGACTGTTGTATAACTGTGGTTAAGGTGTCTCACAAAGTGTACAGGTATCAAGTGTCTAGGTAGACTGTTGTATAACTGTGATAAAGGTGTCTCACAAAGTGTACAGGTATCAAGTGTCTAGGTAGGCTGTTGTATAACTGTGGTAAAGGTGACTCACAAAGTGTACAGGTATCAAGTGTCTAGGTAGACTGTTGTATAACTGTGGTTAAGGTGTCTCACAAAGTGTACAGGTATCAAATGTCTAAGTAGACTGTTGTATAACTGTGATAAAGGTGTCTCACAAAGTGTACAGGTATCAAGTGTCTAGGTAGACTGTTGTATAACTGTGATAAAGGTGTCTCACAAAGTGTACAGGTATCAAATGTCTAAGTAGACTGTTGTATAACTGTGATAAAGGTGTCTCACAAAGTGTACAGGTATCAAATGTCTACGTAGACTGTTGTATAACTGTGATAAAGGTGTCTCACAAAGTTTACAGGTATCAAGTGTCTAGGTAGACTGTTGTATAACTGTAATAAAGGTGTCTCACAAAGTTTACAGGTATCAAGTGTCTAGGTAGACTGTTGTATAACTGTAATAAAGGTGTCTCACAAAGTTTACAGGTATCAAGTGTCTGGGTAGACTGTTGTATAACTGTGATAAAGGTGTCTCACAAAGTTTACAGGTATCAAGTGTCTAGGTAGACTGTTGTATAACTGTGGTAAAGATGACTTACAAAGTTTACAGGTATCAAGTGTCGAAGTAGACTGTTGTATAACTATGGTAAATGTGTCTCACAAAGTGTACAGGTATCAAGTGTCTAGGTAGACTGTTGTATAACTGTGGTTAAGGTGTCTCACAAAGTGTACAGGTATCAAGTGTCTAGGTAGACTGTTGTATAGCTGTGGTAAAGGTGTCTCACAAAGTTTACAGGTATCAAGTGTCTAGGTAGACTGTTGTATAACTGTGGTAAATGTGTTCCCCAAAAAGTGTACAGGTATCAAGTGTCTAGGTAGACTGTTGTATAACTGTGGTAAATGTGTTCCCCAAAAAGTGTACAGGTATCAAGTGTCTAGATAGACTGTTGTATAACTGTGGTTAAGGTGTCTCACAAAGTTTACAGGTATCAAGTGTCTAGGTAGACTGTTGTATAACTGTGGTAAAGGTGTCTCACAAAGTTTACAGGTATCAAGTGTCTAGATAGACTGTTGTATAACTGTGGTTAAGGTGTCTCACAAAGTGTACAGGTATCAAGTGTCTAAGTAGACTGTTGTATAACTGTGGTAAAGGTGTCTCACAAAGTGTATAGGTATCAAGTGTCTAGGTAGACTGTTGTATAGCTGTGGTAAAGGTGTCTCACAGGTTTAGGTTTTGCCTAAAAGACTGAGAAACGGAAAACTTGATATGTAGACGCTTGAAGCGGAGTGTCAAAAGACCACTAGCTGGTTATTTCTCAACGGGTTTAAATCTAGACAAATCTAACAATAGAATTAAATATGTAACATCAGTTTGATGTCTCATTTCGACAATACAGTCAACATAGCTTGTCATTTGTAATATCTTTGAGACCAAAAGTGATAGACACTAGTGGTTGACTTCAGCAACGAAATTTTCAATAACATGCTTAAAATGTTTTCGTTTGAATCATAACATGTTTCAGAGATATACATATATTTGACATTTCTGGAGATCACCCATTGTAACTTTTTAATGAACTTAATTAACTTTTTTCATAAATTCCTTCACATAATTGTTTCTGCTTGTCAACTTTTTTAGCCAGGCACAGCATTGCAAGTTTGTATGGACTGTTAAAGTGCCTTCCTCCATCTAAAGTGACATTGGGGATAAATTTTCATTTATTAATGATAAATGATGATGTTTCTTTCTGTTTATTCACATATTCATTGAAAAACGTATTCTTAATGTCAATGTTTTCATCAAAGTGTTTCTTATTTAACATCATTTGATAACTTATTGACTATTAGTCTGATGTGTCTATATAGTTGTTATTGTGTGGAGACGGGATTCGTAGGCGCGGTCTGTTGCCAAATTCCTTTTGTCATCAGACTCCAGACAATAACATATTCTGAAATGAAAAAATATATTAATCCGGACCATTGTGGACTACAACTACAGATGCTATTAACCATGTTGAAGCATTGCCATATCTAAAATTAATTAATTGATTTTTACAGAGAGTTCCGAGAGTGCTCAGAACACCTCGACCATTCTTGATGCCACAACACGGCTACGAAATATCATCTGTTGTATCATTCTGATGATCGCAGTTGCCGTCGTTTGGATTCTTGCCACCCAGTTTGTCCGAGAGACCTACAGCCCTGGTCATTTCGAGGCGCCTTTCCTACTTATGTATATATGGACAATATGTCTGATCCCATTCTACCCTATATTTGTATTGGTGAGGTTTGTGTACAAAAAACGACAGAGCAAACCGATACAGGAGTTCAGGTAAGACATCTCATGGGACAGCTTTGGAAAAGAAAATAAATTTCTTCTTTTTTTAACTTCTCCTTATTCGTAAATTTATGATTCCGTTGTTGTATACCTTGTTCTGATTGGAGGATGTGGCGTAACTTAATTGTCTTTATGTGAATGACAACTCGGTGTCTATTTAGATTTTGCTATGTGAGAAACCATCGTCTTTTAATGTGAAGTAAGATTCGGTGTCTTTCTGTATTTTGGTATGGGAGACATTACCGTCTTTTAATGTGAAGTAAGATTCGGCATCTTTCTGTGTTTTGGAATGTGAGACATTATCGTCTAGTAAAGTGAAGTAAGATTCGGTGTCTTTCTGTATTTTGGTATGGGAGACATTACCGTCTTTTAATGTGAAGTAAGATTCGGTGTCTTTCTGTATTTTCGTATATAAGACAGTGAATAAGGGCCTGATTTCTTTTTATTTTTTACTTTTATTTGTTTTCACCAGAAGTCATATACGACTATATTACACCGATGGAGAGCGACAGTTGCGCCAATATATAGGACTATCGGTTATGTTCTGTATCCTCTGGAGTCTGATGCAGTTTACCTACATACGGGCACTTGATCCGGAGCTACTTTCACCGACAGGCGTTGCTGCTCTTTATTCAACGTATCACAGCTTTGTGTACTTATTATCATGGATCGTCCTGTTTGAAAAATTTGTCGCTATCAGAGTGAGTTTCCTTTCACTTCAAGTTTTAACTTCATATATAACTCGATATTTGAATAACAATATGGGTTTATGTCAATCAATGAAAAGCCGTTGTAAGGAATCCCTTGCCAGTTGTCTTGTCATCCGTCTAACCGAACAAATGTAATCCTCTCTTTGTCCTGGTTTTGCATGCATCACTTATGATGAATTGATCAATCCATATTCAATCAGACGACAAACTACTCACAATATATACTAGTTGTCGTTGCGAATCTGTCTCCGTCACCATTAAGAATCTCTCTCGGTCGCGGTTGTGAATCTGTCACAGCTGTTGTTGTGAACCTGCGTCGGTCGTTGTTGTGAATTTGTTTCAGTCGTCGTTTTGAAATCTGTTTCAGTCGTCGTTGTGAATCTGTCTCTGTCGTCGTTGTGAATCTGTCTCTGTCGTCGTTGTAAATTTGTCACGGTTGTTGGTGTGTATCTGTCTCTGTCGTCGTTGTAAATCTGTTTCATTCATCGTTGTAAATCTATTTCAGTCATCATTGTGAATCTGTTTCAGACTTCGTTGTAAATCTGTTTCAGTCGTCGTTGTAAATCTGTTTCATTCATTGTTATGAATCTGTTTCATTCATCGTTGTAAATCTGTTTCATTCATCGTTATGAATCTGGTTCATTCATCGTTGTAAATCTGTTTCATTCATCGTTGTAAATCTGTTTCATTCATCGTTGTAAATCTGTTTCAGTCGTCGTTGTAAATCTGTTTCATTCATCGTTGTAAATCTGTTTCATTCATCGTTGTAAATCTGTTTCAGTCGTCGTTGTAAATCTGTTTCATTCATCGTTGTAAATCTGTTTCAGTCGTCGTTGTAAATCTGTTTCATTCATCGTTGTAAATCTGTTTCATTCATCGTTGTAAATCTGTTTCATTCATCGTTGTAAATCTGTTTCATTCATCGTTGTAAATCTGTTTCATTCATCGTTGTAAATCTATTTCAGTCATCATTGTGAATCTGTTTCAGACTTCGTTGTAAATCTGTTTCAGTCGTCGTTGTAAATCTGTTTCATTTATCGTTGTAAATCTGTTTCAGTCGTCGTTGTAAATCTGTTTCATTCATCGTTGTAAATCTGTTTCATTCATCGTTATGAATCTGTTTCATTCATCGTTGTAAATCTGTTTCGTTCATCGTTGTGAATCTATTTCAGTCATCATTGTGAATCTGTTTCAGACTTCGTTGTAAATCTGTTTCAGTCGTCGTTGTAAATCTGTTTCATTCATTGTTATGAATCTGTTTCATTCATCGTTGTAAATCTATTTCAGTCATCATTGTGAATCTGTTTCAGACTTCGTTGTAAATCTGTTTCATTCATCGTTGTAAATCTGTTTCATTCATCGTTGTAAATCTGTTTCATTCATCGTTGTAAATCTGTTTCATTCATCGTTGTAAATCTGTTTCATTCATCGTTGTAAATCTGTTTCAGTCATCATTGTGAATCTGTTTCAGACTTCGTTGTAAATCTGTTTCATTCATCGTTGTAAATCTGTTTCATTCATCGTTGTAAATCTGGTTCATTCATCGTTGTAAATCTATTTCAGTCATCATTGTGAATCTGTTTCAGACTTCGTTGTAAATCTGTTTCATTCATCGTTGTAAATCTGTTTCATTCATCGTTGTAAATCTGGTTCATTCATCGTTGTAAATCTGTTTCATTCATCGTTGTAAATCTGGTTCATTCATCGTTGTAAATCTGGTTCATTCATCGTTATGAATCTGTTTCAGTCGTCGTTGTGAATCTGTTGCAGTCGCCGTTGTAAATCCGTCCCCATTGTATCATTCCGGCCCAGATTTGATGTCTTTTTTCTCCCCTTATTCAGATCGTATCTAAATGGTTGTCTCCCTGTTGTGTCTGATACTGGGTAGTTTGCCTGTTGGTTCATTTGTCGTATCCCTTGTTTCTATTTGACGACGTGACATTGCTGACTGTGATATTGACCATGATGTACATGGCTAGTGAAGCAGAAGATGCGTATTTTTTGTTGAATATATAATATCCTAGATATTTGTGATTTCAGACATTCTTGTTTGTGTTTTCTTACACCATACATTATTGTTTGTAATTCCAAACACCATTGTTTTGTGATTTCAAACACCACTGTTCGGGATTTCAAAGATCATTGTCTCAAACTGACAAAATGCACCACAACCATCAACCCACAGATATAAAAATAGTTAAATTTAAAGCATAGCCATGTGACACAAAGCAAATTAAAATAATAACTGTCACCGTTATGCTTGTATCATATGCACCAAAGGCACGTTTCTTAATCAATCTGTGTCGTAGACACACTAACAATAACTATTGTAATCAATATGTCTCCTGGTCGAGCTAAAAATCAACTTGTGTTAAGGGCGCGCTAAAATTCTCGATCTTAGATAATATCTGTCTAGGACACGCTTAAAACATAAAATTAATAAATGGCATGTTTTTATCTTTAAACAGAAATCTTGAAATACAATTAACAGCAAACTATTGTTTAACGTATTTATAGATCATGGCCATGATATTCTCCATTTCCGGTATGGTGCTCTCTGCTTATGCTGGTGGATTTGGTTCTACGTCCATGTGGGGCGTAATTTTATCTGTCTCGGCATCCGCTACTATGTCTGTATTTAAGGTATGTAATAATTCATTGTCTGTAAGGTTTATTGTTTTATAAGGTTTGATTGCACTAATATTTGTTACTCGTCGACACGCCCACTTACATATATATATATATATATATATATATATACAAATCACTAAAGACAGAACTAATATTTGTCACTCGTCGACACGCCCACTTACATATATATATATATATATATATATATACAAATCACTAAAGACAGAACTAATATTTGTCACTCGTCGACACGCCCACTTACATATATATATATATATATATATACAAATCACTTAAGACAGAACTAATATTGTCCAATCATACAGGGGCACTGTCCATAATTAGACTTTTCTTCGGTTACTTTACATTTTTCTCTAGGCTCTTAATATCATTGACGAATCCTATAAGGACGAAACAGCTAAATAATGAAGTTTCAATTATTGTTGCCTGTACTGTATCTAACTCACTTGTGTGTCTTTAGTACAATCTTTTCTATTGAAGTCTTTCAAAACCACAGACTAATTTTCTCGTCAGGTGTAAATTGATAAGTGATAGTTACCGTATATCTGTACTTCACGTGGAGATCACATTACAAATATAGTTCAGTAGTTTGATAATGTGAAATCCTTTTTCAATGTAATATAAAGATATCCTAGTTATATCGCTTCTATATATCTATTTTACAGCAATTACGAATATTTCTCTGTCAAATCTTTCATCCCTAAGGATTAATAAAATTGTATTCATGGATTTTTAAAAAAAAAGTATGGTCGATAATTTCAATTATCAGTGTTTGTCACCTATTAATGTTGTTTATATTTTTTAAAAAAATAAGGTTTTAACCCATTCTGTTCCTAGGTTTTATATAAGAAGTTTATTGGAATTCCTGATTACGGTCAAATCTCCCTGTTTACAAGTTTGATAGGTAAGTGAAGTAAAGAATACATATTCGAACATCACAGTAAAGGCAAGGTAGCAACAAATAACATTGATCAGCAAAATGTCTTAAACGATACAACAGTTTTTTTTTAGATAAAAAAGAATTTAATGAACCATAATATATTTATCCTGACAGATTGAGGCAGTTTTCCATTTCAGGTGTTGCTAAATGTATAATGTAATGTGATTTCGGACAGCAATGTTTGTGATTTTAGACAGACACCACTGTTTGTGATTCCAGACAGATACTACTGTTTTGTAATTTTAGACAGACACCACTGTTTGTGATTTTAGACAGACACCACTGTTTGTGATTTTAGACAGACACCACTGTTTGTGATTTTAGACAGACACCACTGTTTGTAATTTCAGACAGACATCACTGTTTTGTAATTTCAGACAGACACCACTGTTTGTAATGTTAGACAGACACCACTGTTTTGTAATTTCATACAGACACCACTGTTTGTAATGTTAGACAGACATCACTGTTTTTTTAATTTCAGATAGACATCACTGTTTTGTAATTTCAGACAGACATCACTGTTTGTAATGTTAGACAGACACCACTGTTTTGTAATTTCAGACAGACATCACTGTTTTGTAATTTCAGACAGACATCACTGTTTGTAATGTTAGACAGACACCACTGTTTTGTAATTTCAGACAGACACCACTGTTTGTAATGTTAGACAGACATCACTGTTTTTTTAATTTCAGGTAGACATCACTGTTTTGTAATTTCAGACAGACACCACTGTTTGTAATGTTAGACAGACATCACTGTTTTTTTTAATTTCAGATAGACATCACTGTTTTGTAATTTTAGACAGACACCACTGTTTTGTGATTTTAGACAGACACCACTGTTTGTGATTTTCAGATACCACTACTTTTGATTTCAGGCAGACACCACTATTTGTAATTTCAGACAGACATTACTGTTTTGTAATTTCAGACAGATACCAATGTTTTGTAATTTCAGACACACCCCACTATTTGTGATTCCAGACAGACAACACTGTTTGTGATTTCAGACAGACACAACTATTTTGTAATGTTAAACAGACATCACTGTTTTGTAATTTCAGACAGACACCACTGTTTTGTAATTTTAGACAGACACCACTGTTTTGTAATTTTAGACAGACACCACTGTTTGTGATTTTAGACTGACACCACTGTTTGTAATTTCAGACAGACACCACTGTTTGTGATTTCAGACAGACATCACTGTTTTGTAATTTTAGACAGACACCACTGTTTGTAATTTCACATACACCCCACTGTTTTGTAATTTTAGACAGACACCACTGTTTTTTAATTTTAGACAGACACCACTGTTTTGTAATTTCATACAAACACCACTGTTTGTAATTTTAGACAGACACCACTGTTTTGTAATTTCAGACAGACACCACACTGTTTGTAATTTTAGACAGACACCACTGTTTTGTAATTTCAGACAGACACCACTGTTTGTAATGTTAGACAGACATCACTGTTTTGTAATTTCAGACAGACATCACTGTTTTGCGATTTCAGACAGACATCACTGTTTTGCGATTTCAGACTGACATCACTGTTTGGGATTTTAGACATACACCACTGTTTGTAATTTCAGACAGACAGCACGGTTTTGTGATTTTAGACAGACACCACTGTTTGTAATTTCAGACAGACACCACTGTTTTGTGATTTTAGACAGACACCACTGTTTGTGATTTTAGACAGACACCACTGTTTGTAATTTCAGACAGACACCACTGTTTTGTAATTTCAGACAGACACCACTGTTTTGTAATTTCAGACAGACACCACTGTTTGTAATTTCAGACAGACACCACTGTTTGTGATTTCAGACAGACATCACTGTTTTGTAATTTTAGACAGACACCACTGTTTGTAATTTCAGACAGACATCACTGTTTGTAATTTTAGACAGACACCTCTGTTTGTGATTTTAGACTAATACCACTGTTTGTGATTTTAGACAGACACCACTGTTTGTGATTCCAGACAAACATCACTGTTTTGTAATTTTAGACAGACACCACTGTTTGTAATTTCAGACAGACATCACTGTTTTGTGATTTTAGACAGACACCACTGTTTGTGATTTTAGACAGACACCACTGTTTGTGATTTTAGACAGACACCACTGTTTGTGAATCCAGACCTACACCACTGTTTGTAATTTCAGACAGACACCACTGTTTTGTAATTTTAGACAGACACCACTGTTTCTGGTTTCAGACAGACACCACTGTTTGTATTTTCAGACAGACACCACTGTTTTGTAATTTTAGACAGACACCACTGTTTTGTAATTTTAGACAGACACCACTGTTTTGTAATTTTAGACAGACACCACTGTTTGTGCTTTTAGACAAACACCACTGTTTGTAATTTTAGACAGACATCACTGTTTTGTGATTTTAGACAGACACCACTGTTTGTAATTTCAGACAGACATCACTGTTTTGTGATTTTAGACAGACACCACTGTTTGTGATTTCAGACAGACACCACTACTTTGTGATTTCAGACAGACACCACTGTTTTGTAATTTCAGACAGACACCACTGTTTGTGATTTCAGACAGATACCACTGTTTTGTAATTTTAGACACACACCACTGTTTTGATTTTGATTCCAGACACACAGACACTGGTTTGTAATATCAGACAGACATCACTGTTTTGTGATTTTAGACAGACATCACTGTTTTGTAATTTTAGACAGACACCACTGTTTGTGATTTCAGACAGACACCACTGTTTGTAATTTCAGACAGACATCACTGTTTTGTGATTTCAGACAGACACCACTGTTTGTAATTTCAGACAGACATCACTGTTTTGTGATTTTAGACAGACATCGCTGTTTTGTAATGTTAGATAGACACCACTGTTTTGTAATTTCAGACAGACATCACTGTTTTGTGATTTCAGACAGACACCACTGTTTGTAATTTCAGACAGACAGCACGGTTTTGTGATTTTAGACAGACACCACTGTTTGTGATTTTAGACAGACACCACTGTTTGTGAATCCAGACCTACACCACTGTTTGTAATTTCAGACAGACAGCACGGTTTTGTGATTTTAGACAGACACCACTGTTTGTGATTTCAGACAGACACCACTGTTTGTAATTTCAGACATACCCCACTGTTTGTGATTTCAGACAGACACCACTGTTTGTGATTTCAGACAGACACCACTCTTTATGATTTCAGACAGACACCACTGTTTGTAATTTTAGACAGACACCACTGTTTTGTGATTTCAGACAGACACCACTGTTTGTGATTTTAGACAGACAGCACCGTTTTGTGATTTTAGACAAACAGCGCTGTTTTGTAATTTCAGACAGACATCGCTGTTTTGTAATTTTAGACAGACACCACTGTTTTGTGATTTTAGACAGACATCACTGTTTCGTAATTTCAGACATACACCACTGTTTGTAATTTCAGACTGACACCAGATTTTCAGACAGACACCACTGTTTTGTAATTTTAGACAGACACCACAGTTTGTAATTTTAGACAGACACCACTAGACAGACACCACTGTTTGTAATTTCAGACACACCTCACTGTTTTGTAGTTTCAGACAGACACCACTGTTTTGTAATTTTAGACAGACATCACTGTTTTGTGATTTTAGACAGACACCACTGTTTGTGATTTTAGACAGACACCACTGTTTGTGATTTTAGACAGACACCACTGTTTGTGATTTTAGACAGATACTACTGTTTTGTGATTTTAGACAGACATCACTGTTTTGTGATTTTAGACAGACACCACTGTTTTGTAATTTCAGACAAACATCACTGTTTTGTGATTTTAGACAGACATCGCTGTTTTGTAATTTTAGACAGACATCACTGTTTTGTAATTTCAGACAGACTCCACTGTTTGTGATTTTAGACAGACACCACTGTTTGTGATTTTAGACTGACACCACTGTTTGTAATTTCAGACAGACAGCACGGTTTTGTGATTTTAGACAGACACCACTGTTTCTGGTTTCAGACAGACACCACTGTTTTGTGATTTCAGACACACGTCACTGTTTCTGGTTTCAGACAGACACCACTGTTTCTGGTTTCAGACAGACACCACACTGTTTGAGATTTCAGACACACACCACTGTTGCTGGTTTCAGACAGACACCACTGTTTGTAGATTCTGACACCACTGTTTGTGATTTCAGACACACACCACTGTTTCTGGTTTCAGACAGACACCACTGTTTGTAGATTCTAACACCACTGTTTGTGATTTCAGACACACACCACTGTTTTGTAATTTCAGACAGACATTTCACAGACACCGGTGATTTGTAATTTCAGACAGACACCAATATTTGTGATTTCAGACAGACACCACTGTTTTGTGATTTCAGACAGACACCGGTGATTCTGGTTTCAGACAGACACCGCGATTTCGGACAGACACCGGTGATTCTGGTTTCAGACAGACACCAATATTTGTGATTTCAGACAGACACCACTGTTTGTATTTTCAGATACCACTACTTTTGATTTCAGGCAGACACCACTATTTGTAATTTCAGACAGACATTACTGTTTTGTAATTTCAGACAGATACCACTGTTTTGTAATTTCAGACACACCCCACTATTTGTGATTCCAGACAGACACAACTGTTTTGTAATGTTAAACAGACATCACTGTTTTGTAATTTCAGACAGACATCACTGTTTTGTAATTTTTGACAGACACCACTGTTTGTAATGTTAGACAGACAACACTGTTTTGTAATTTTAGACAGACACCACTGTTTGTGATTTTAGACTGACACCACTGTTTGTAATTTCAGACAGACACCACTGTTTGTATTTTCAGACAGACACCACTGTTTTGTAATTTTAGACAGACACCACTGTTTTGTAATTTCAGACAGACACCACTGTTTGTATTTTCAGACAGACACCACTGTTTTGTAATTTTAGACAGACACCACTGTTTTGTAATTTTAGACAGACACCACTGTTTTGTAATTTTAGACAGACACCACTGTTTGTATTTTCAGACAGACACCACTGTTTTGTAATGTTAGACAGACACCACTGTTTGTATTTTCAGACAGACACCACTGTTTTGTAATTTTAGACAGACACCACTGTTTTGTAATTTTAGACAGACATCACCGTTTTGTAATTTTAGACAGACACCGCTGTTTTGTGATTTTAGACAGACACCACTGTTTGTAGATTCTGACACCACTGTTTGTGATTTCAGACACACACCACTGTTTCTGGTTTCAGACAGACACCACTGTTTGTAGATTCTGACACCACTGTTTGTGATTTCAGACACACACCACTGTTTCTGGTTTCAGACAGACACCACTGTTTGTAGATTCTAACACCACTGTTTGTGATTTCTGACGCACACCACTGTTTCTGGTTTCAAACAGACACCGCGATTTCGGACAGACACCGGTGATTCTGGTTTCAGACAGACACCAATATTTGTGATTTCAGACAGACACCACTGTTTTGTGATTTCAGACAGACACCACTGTTTCTGGTTTCAGACAGACACCAATATTTGTGATTTCAGACAGACACCACAGTTTGTGATTTCAGACAGACAACGGTTGATTCTGGTTTCAGACAGACACCAATATTTGTGATTTCAGACAGACACCACTGTTTGTGATTTCAGACAGACACCGCTGTTTCTGGTTTCAAACATACACTATTCGTGATTTCAGGTGTTGGTAATGTTTTATGTCTTTGGCCAGTGGTGCTGTCATTATGTTTTACAAAGACAGAAGTAATCACACGTGACGTACCCTGGGCATACATCATAGGGTCATCTATCGCCATCTCAGGTACGTGTAACGAAAGTAACCGCCATCTTATCTATATAGACAAATAGAATAGAGATATTTAATCTAACAACCTATCACTTACTTTTGAAAATTCCCTTTTCCTGTAGTCATCCTTACATTTTTAAGATATAACATTGATGGTTTTTTTAGTCCTATTCATAAAGTACATGTAGTCATTGTTTATGACATGGTTTTAATTATGAAAAGCTATTGTTAATGTGGTAGTAAAAGACTCAGTTTGAAAAAAAAGACGTAAATTTATCTGAACATATCTTTGCCCTTATCACGTTAAACTTCTGTTAACAGGCTACGTGTTAGAAAAGGTGACAAAATGCATCAGCTCCCAAATATAAACTCAGTGAAAGTTAAAACTAACCACCAATAGTATTTAAAAATCAAAACTTCAATACTGTCACAGAGATAATTACAATAACAACATTCACCGTTATACTACCGTCGTGAAAGTTATTGTGTACCACAGGCACGTCACTTCATCTCTCTAGGACACGCTTAAAACCTCTGTCTTAGATAATCTCTCTCTAGGACACACTTAAAACCTCTATCTTAGATAATCTCTATCTAGGACACGCTTAAAACCTCTATCTTAGATAATCTCTATCTAGGACACGCTCAAAACCTCTATCTTAGATAATCTCTATCTAGGACACGCTTAAAACTTCTGTCTTAGATAATATCTATCAATGACACGCTAAAAATTCTCTATATTTATTTGTGTCCAAAGCACGTTTAAAATCTCTATCTCAAGTAATTCAGGTTTAGGGCAAACAATAAATCGCTATCTTAACTATTTGTGTCTAGAGCACGCATACATTTCTATATTAGTTTATTTGCGTCTATGATAAGCTAATAATGTTGATCCTAATCAATTTATATGTAGGGGACGCCAAAAATTTAATTTTGTCTTAGACACATCAAATTTTTTTATCAGTATTTGGCTCTAGGACATTTTAAAAATTTCGGCATGCTATATTCTCTACTTTATTTTGTGTCAAATGTGTGCTTAAAATATCTATACTAATTAAAGTGTGTCTAAGCATGTTAAAACCATATATCTCGATTTATGTCTGGGGCACACTTAAACTCTCTAACTTAATTAATTTGTATCTAGGGCACGCTAAAACTTTTTTATCTTAATTAAGTTTTGTCTAAGGCACGCTATACATCTCTGTCCTAATAAGTCTCTGTTACACGCTTATAATTATCATCTTTACGCCTGGCGTACGCTTAAATCATTTTTTTAATATGTGTCTAGGGCTGGCTAAAATCGCTATGTTAATCTGTGTTTAGTGCCTGCTTAAAATCTCTACATAATGAAGCTGTATCGATGGAACGTCAAAACTCTCGGTGTTAATTAATATCTGTCTAGAACACACTTTAATCTCTGTTTTAATTAATATGTCTCTAAGGCACATCAAAGCTCTCTATCTTGATTAATTTGTGTCTAGGTCACGCTAAAATGTTCTGTCTTGATATATTTCTATCGTCGGCACGCTCTAATCTCTGTGTCTTAGACATACTAGAATTCTCTATCTTAATTAATGTGTATCTTTGCCACACTAAAATCTCTACCTTAATCTGTGTCTAACTCATGCTTGAAATCTCTATCTTTGTCAAGCTGTGTAGAGGGTACGCTGCAAATGTCTATCTTAATTAACAGGTCTTAAGGGTACGCTTTAATGTCCTAATCTTTCTTCAGGCCATATTGACACGCTCTATTTAATCACGCTGTGTCTTCTAAAGCACGCTAAAACTATCTATCTTACTTAATTTGTTCATATAAGAAATATCGCGGAAGTAATTCATCATTGCCAAAAACTGATAGATCAGAAAAATCGTATTGTGTTAGATGAATTATATTTACAGTATTCAGTGATACACCTACTAGTTAAGAACCGTTTTTGTCCATTAACGCAAGACTTGATGTCTCCTTTGCAGTCCTGCATGTACTTTTACACTACATCGAATTGGCTTTGTTTGACGTGTTCTTGGGTTTGGGATTTCTTCTTGGAATAGTAATGAGTGCACGTAAGTAGTTTACTTACCTCTTTAATAATTGATTAAATTCCTTAAGTCTATGGAACCGATCTTCACATTTACTTAGTTTATAATCCCATATAAACTGTATTTAGAATATTTTGATAACCAGCTAGTGTAAACTCATATATTTAAGTGAGGCTCAATTTTAGCGGTTTCTCAAAGTAAAACAACAAACTCTTTCATGAATAAATCATACCATGGGTCAGCAGGTTAATTATACCTCAACAAATCCTTTTTATTAATTTAGGATTGATTATATCAATTCGTGGTTTGAGAGTACCCGACGAAAATAAATACACACGAAAATGATTTTTCATAATGATTGATATATAGCTGAAGCCCGGAAGCCATCACCATTACTCCAATGTATTTTTTTTATATATTACATACATAGTAATTGACTACTTATGGCGAGGAATATACTTCAGTGGAATGGAGGTAGCGGCGATGATTCTGACGTCATTCGGCATCCTCCTAGTCTCCCTCCCCGATCACTGTCCAACCGACTTCAGCATGCTTACCATGTGGTGCCGACGCCGAAAACGATGTGAGGTACAAGGAACACCACAGTCGACAGCTGACACTTCTGGAACAAGATGGCGGAGGAGTATAAAGAAATGAAAAACAAATCTAAAGCAAAACGTAGTTTTATAAATGTCAGTATAATATATAGAGGTTATCCTTTTAAACATAATCAGTAATGAACCTGGTGGATAAATGCATAAAGGTTTCCTGCTAGGAATTGATTCTTGTGATGCATTATTGAAATGCAACAAAAGATAATGAGTGATTGAAGTCTAAACCCAATCACTAATATACTTAGACAAACTTTCTTGTAATCATAGAAATTAAAACGAATTGTGTATTCATGATTCAGCAAACTAGATACAAACAAAATGTCTGCAGTAGATTTTCATATCGCATTGTACAGCCTCATTGTCATTTTCGTGAAGCTGAGGACTGTATGATATTCATAATAGACAACAAGAATTTACATAATTGGCGAAAATGCTTTTGAGGATAATATCGTTATCTGGATAGTTTTGGAATGTTGGGATGTTTCCCAAACCTCGCAGTATAAGGTGTATGTAAATCAAACTATCACCAATAAGTGTTCACATTATTGATAACAGATTTATGCTTTCTTGTAAATATACGTCATTTTGTTGCTTTAATCAAATGGTCACAAAGTGATTTTTTTTCTTTCTTTCTTTTCTTTATTTTTGCAAACTCTATGGTCTTGACAAAAAACACTACCCTTCTTATTAAGTTTACCGATATGTATTTATATGTGATAAAACACTATTGATGATTGCCATTCGTAGTGTTATAGTTCTCGAGAAAAATGATTCAGTTCATAAGCCATTTGAAATACAGACCAATAACAAAAAGAGTTTATGTCAGATTAACCGTAAATTGGTATATTTATCATGGAAGGAAGGGTTCTGACATCTTCGTTGTCCTGTGTATCCTGTTTTGGAAATGTTGTCTTAGCAGTGAATAGGACATTGTTTACAAATCATACTGTATTGGTGATCATATGTACAAATTGTGCTGTACTGGTGATCAGATATTAACGTCAACAGATAGAACAGTATGTACAAAGTGTGTTGTGTTGGAGATCATGTGTTGACGTCAACAGATAGGACAGTATGTACAAATTGTGTTGTGTTGGTGATCATGTGTTGACGTCAACAGATAGGACAGTATGTACAAATTGTGTTGTGTTGGAGATCATGTGTTGACGTCAACAGATAGGACAGTATGTACAAATTGTGTTGTACTTAGTGAGCATATATTTACGTTAACATAGAGAACATTATGTACAAAGTGTGCTGTATTGGTGATCAGATATTAACGTCAACAGACGGAACATTATGTACAAATTGTGTTGTACTGGTGATCATGTGTTGACGTCAACAGATAGAACAGTATGTACAAATTGTGTTGTACTGGTGATCAAATATTAACGTCAACAGACAGATCAGTATGTACAAATTGTGCTGTACTGGTGATCAGATATTAACGTCAACAGACAGAACAGTATGTAAAAATTGTGCTGTACTGGTGATCAGATATTAACGTCAACAGACAGAACAGTATGTACAAAGTGTGTTGTACTGGTGACCATGTGTTTACGTCAACAGATAGAACAGTATGTACAAATTGTATTGTACATGTGATCATGTGTTGACGTTAACAGACTGAACAGTATGTACACATTGTACTGTATTGGTGATCGTGTGTTAACGTCAACAGACAGAACAGTATGTACAAAGTGTGTTGTACTGGTGACCATGTGTTTACGTCAACAGATAGAACAGTATGTACAAAGTGTGTTGTACTGGTGACCATGTGTTTACGTCAACAGATAGAACAGTATGTACAAATTGTATTGTACTGGTGACCATGTGTTTACGTCAACAGACAGATTAGTATGTACAAATTGTGCTGTACTGGTGATCAGATATTAACGTCAACAGATAGAACAGTATGTACAAAGTGTGTTGTACTGGTGATCAGATATTAACGTCAACAGATAGAACAGTATGTACAAAGTGTGTTGTATTGGTGATCATATGTTTACGTCAACAGATAGAACAGTATGTACAAATTGTGTTGTACATGTGATCATGTGTTGACGTTAACAGACAGAACTTTATACCCATGTTTTCTGATAGATGATAATAAAAGTATGAACGACTTTTTGTAGCTACCTCTTGAACATGCCCTGCTAATGTATGGACATTTTACTGATAAGAAGTGAAACACAAAAATGTTAGAAGCATTAGTAAAAGTAGATAGATCATTTAATATCTTAACGAGAAACAACTGCAACCCGCCACTCACCAACACGTCTTAACAATTTTTTTTATTATTTTGTTCGTTTTCAATTTTTTTTATTTATCTTTTATGCCAAATGTGTTGTTCTGTTTTTTTTATTTAGTCTGTTTGGTAATCTCGTTGTAAGGACACTTCTCTGTTGACCTTTGTTTGATTATTGTACAAACGAATTTAATCCGTATAAGAAGCGTGTTTATATTGTTAAAAAATGGACTATAAATAGGGAGATATGTAAAACATATGCACCTGATTAAGTTACGATAAGCTTGCCAGAAATTATTTACAATCTCTCGGCAATGTTGTAGAATGTACAAAGATAAACGGCATTTTCATGTCAATAGCTTTGGCATGGGAATATGAATTTGTATATTGAAACATAAATAATAATATTTTTGAAAAAAAATAAAGAATTTTCAAGGAATCATTATTTATTATTTGTTCATTTCTGAGAAGTTTGTGCGATGAAATTGATTGTATTAAGATAGACATACCTCAAAGCAAGATTCAAAATACAAAAAAAGATAGAGAGATGACGTTAACAAATAACATTAACCCTCCTTATTGACGACACCTGCTGTTCGACATTTGATCATATTTTTCATGTATTCATCTATTTAATTGTAACTCATTTCAATATCTGTTTCATTTAGATGAATTTTGACGTAGAGGATATTTATTAGTATCTTCAATAATAACAAATATATTTCATTCTTGTGTGTGCTATTTTGGTATCTTTCAGAATATTATGAAATATATTTGTTATTACTGAACACACTATAAGATACATTATGTATCATATTAATTATATTTTCACAAAGAATAGTAAAATTCTTACAAATTTAGAACAGAAATAAAAATGACGAAGCTGAAAAATGTTTTTCGAGGATATTGCTAACCCTTACAAAGCCCGCGTTAACAAAATCATTAAAACTATATAAACACGAAAATATATCTCAGTGTAGATATAACTTTATAAGCACCTACGTAAGCTTTCTTCTACATGTGTCGAACAAACATAATTTGCTGGAAAACGTTCCGAAAGAGTTTAATAATAACTGTGTTAATTAATTAAGCAGCTGAAAATATGGCGGCAACCTTGGTAGTCACTGTCGCTGTCTATGACACGAATCAACTTGAAATGTCTCACTCTATTTTTAAGACGTTCAGTTGGAGATTGAGTTGGATATCTAATAAAGTAATTCGATTTACTGGCTTGCAGTGTTTGTCGAATTCCATGGAAATTAAAATATACAGCGAAATAGAAGGTCTTCTTTCCAGGTAATACCCCTTGTACAGATGTCTGGTTTTGTTATGTCTTTGTTTCGAGTATTTTGATTGGTCAGTTTTATAAGCTGATCTGTGTCCTCTATTTTCATTTGTGTAAGTCTGCTGCACTGGCAAATATTAGCTCTTTCATCGACGTGATATGTGACCTATGTTTCATCAGTAAAAACGCGATAAAAGTTCATCATTAGAAACAATATGGTTTTATATCGGTAAATATACGACTACACAACACGCTTAATTGAGGATATTGTGAATAACTGAATACTAATGTATGAGAATATATACCAAACCCTGGTTGGTCAAAGACATGCAAAGTGATTCGTGAAAAATGTTCACGAATCAATACTAAATTGACATTTTTAATCATTTCACAAATGTATTCTTTCTGAAACTACAATTTGATACTAACCATTGGTTGATTGTAATTAAACTTTGCACAACTAGGTCTTTAAATAAGTATGGAATGTGACTACAGGTATGATCATTTTACTGTTACGCATGTCACACAGCATATTCACCATAATTAGTTACGAAAGACTTATTACATGTTACGAAATAATAGTTATGTAACGCAATGTTTCATAGGGTAGTTTACTTGATATAATTCCCGATCTATTCATGAATCTCTAAGTTGCTGCTGTGAAAACAATTCTGACCAGAGCCGAAGTAGCATTGTTCTAATGTATAACATAATTAAGGGACATGAGTTCAAGGGAAAACAGTTAGATAGAACTGGATGACGGAGAGTTATTATTTCTTGAAGAAAACAGTGTAGACATATTTCGATGTTGAAGAACATATGCATTATGTAAATATAACAATAACACGATTGAAGAAATATCGAGATAAAGACTTTAATTTCGCAACGGACGGGACTAAGACAGTGTTTCAGCATGGGGCATACTAAAGATTTCTAATAACAAAAAAAGTAGGGAATGAATGGACAAAAACAAGGAATTAACACCTTTAATCATTGACATAAATGTATTTGATTTGGATAAGCTTTGTACGTTTGGAGCCTTATAAGATGGTTGTCAGATTGGTAAAATCGCAAACATGGTGGAGCAATAGCGCCTTCGTATCTCAGTGATGTAAGGAAGAAATTTGTATCGAGAACACGAATTTTAAAGATGACACGAGGTGTTTTATTTTAATTCTACAAACATAGAGCTTGTACTGTATGGATTATATCCGTTGATTATCGTAATAAGACGATTTCGTCCTTTTTTAGATTTTGTAGAGGATACCTGTAAAACCAACTGCAACGATACATCAGTTGTTCGGTTTCAGTAATTGCTAAGGTAGTAAAATCCTGCTTCATTAGAAAGACATTGGACAAAATAACGACGAGTTAAAGCGACGTTATTCCGATATCTGATATGTCATAAAGAAACTAGATAATTATCATTAATGATGATGTGTCGCATAAACAATGTGTTTAAACGGATAATAAGAACTGTGGTAATAACCTCCCATCCATATCAAATTTC